CTTTTGTACTTGAGAAAGACATGCTATCAGGAAGTACAGATCATTGGAAAAGACATCATGTTTGATAAAGTAAGGGTGCCACTGGACCGGGCAGTATTTCCTTGTGTTGGATGTGGGGTCACTAGGCATTGGAGCTGCCTGGATGGTACCTAACAACAATACCCTCACGGTAAGGAAATACTTAGTAATATTTCTTACAGTTCCATTTACTAACAATTAACACAGTATTGGGGCTGACCATTTGTTCAAATATGCAGCTTGACAATTGGGAATTATTAAGTTATTCTTTATTAAGTTTTTATTAAGGTTAGTAATTATTAAATTTGAGAAGTGGGAAAAAACAAGCAAACAAACCACAAAATGTATTCAAATGGGTTCTAACTCTGTTGGTTAGTATAAATTGTCACAGCTGGTTTACCAAAACTAAACCTATTTGAAATTGGCCTCTTTCAGGAAGATGCACAGACAAATGAGTGAAGGATAAACCGTTGGGACATAGCTCCCCTGGTAGGGCATCCTCTTGTTCACCCGTGTGTTCTGACCAATGGTGATAGGGACGTGTCTGGTGCATGCCTGCCTGTGTAAGCTGACTTTTATGTCTGCATCATGTGAGAATGGCCCAGCTATAAGATTTTCACTTCCCATGCACTTTTATTTTATTTTAAAAAAGGCATTGCCAACAGAGCGTCTTTGGACTTTGTTTTAAAGACTTTCTGAACCATGACTTGCAGACTACAGAGTAGAGTATAACCTACAGCCATCAACATTACTGTTCAAGAAATTATATTTTATGTGCATCCTAAGATATATATGCTAGGCTCCTCTCCCTGACTTAAAAGACCATTAAAGTACACATTTTTACAGTAATTTTTAATTGGAAAATTACAAGTAAAATATTTTAAGTATAAAACAGTAATATGGAGGACTTTTTTCCTTGAGCCATTTGACCTAATATCTCATCATGTCTGAATAAACGAGTGTATATTTCCCACAGTTAGAGGCAAGGGCATTCTCCCTTGCCCAGTAAAACCATCAGAGTCAGGAATAACATTAGTACCTCCTAATTCTCAGATCTCATTCACATTCAAAAAGCATCTCAATAATGAATGTCCTCTAGAGCAAAGGGACCCAGTTGAGGAGGGTGCCTTACATTTTACTTGCCATGTCTCCTTCCTCTCATTCTGCCTTCAGTCTTTGTGTGGCTCTTGAGACCATAGCACTTCTTCAGATCACACAGGCCAGCTATTTGGTAGCGTGCTTCCTTGTTTTGTTTGCTTGTGAGCAGATGCAGGCGATGAGTAGTTGGCAGGAGTATCACAGAGTGATGCCATGTCTTCTCTGAGTACCCTTTGGACATTATCACCATGAATTTCATTTTGACCCATTACTATTGATGATCACTTGGATTGCTTGATTAAAATGTTATCTTCTGGCTCCCTGTATTATGAAATTACTCATTGAGGTAGTTTATTGTGCCAGCCTGGCCGATAAACACGTGGGATTAATTGAAGGGCAGAGAGATAAATGGCTCAGTGAGCCTCACCTTTCTTGTCTCTTGCTCTTTGATCATCGGACCAGTGTGCGGCTCCCTGGCTTGTTCTGTGCCTCAATTTGCAAGCTACACTACCTGAGGGACACCTAACCTGTGGACTGTGTCGCTGTAATTTGAGGTTTCTTCAAGACCTGCTTTACCACACAATTGGACTTTACATCTCTTGAGCTGGTGACTCTTGGTGACCCGACAGACTGTTGGTGACCTGGCTGACTGTTGGTGACCGGCCTTGCTGTTTGCTGCCGGATAGCCAGAATCTCTCTACAGAGGACTACCTCGTGGCCCTCAAGACTTGAAGGACTGCCAGTGTCTCACAACTGTCTCACGGGAGTGAGTTGCACTGAGCCTTTGTGATGCTTTATAATTTAACTGTTTATTTCTTGTGTTATATATCTATCTGTATAAATATATATATAAAATTATTAGCAATCTGGTTTTGTCTCTAGAGAACCCTGTGTAACACACTCATCTTCCCTCTGTAATGAATATTAATACAATATTGTGAAACCACGTAACTATTCCTTTCCTCACCAAACATCCATTTGTTTAAGTCATATATTAATATCAGCATGATCCTATGAGTTTATATTTCATCTGTGGGTTATTAGTTACTACTATCATTATTTTGACACTAGTCTCCCTGATTTGATCAGTAGGATTCTCTTAAAGTTGGTATTTGTAACCTTTCAGCATGTTCTATCGTTCTTTGATCATACTGAAACCTACAGTTTCATTCTGATACCATTGTTGAATCATTTTCTCTGCCTCTCCTTATTTTGTACCTCAATTCCTAACAGTGAGACCCTGGCCTGCCAGTATCCTTAATTTATTGTACTGTATCCGTTTCCCTGTATGTAGTTAGTCAGCCATCTCCATTGCCCTATTTCCCCCCATTTGACTTGGTGTTTTGGAGCCCCTTCTCTGGAAGCCCTCCACACACAGGGCACTCTCACACTGCACACTAGAGGGGCTGCTCAGGCGTGAATCCCAGCGCTGGGTCCCTCCAGTGTAGAGATGCTGTTCTTAGCCTGCTAAGCTCATACCACCTTTCCCTGGGAACCTTTCTCCTGTTGCTTAGATGGTAACGCCTCAACTGCTTTGGCCTTGCCATGCCCTGTGCTCCACCATCAAAACTCATCTCATCCTGCTCAGCTCTGGCACTCCACATCAAGGCAAGTCCACTCTCTGCCTTGCCCATTCTGAAGCATGAGATACACACATATACTCGGGATGGCAGATCTTTTTTGCCATTGTGTATGGTTCATCTTTTCCTTTTTCATTTATTGTTTGATAATGATGAGGGTTTTTAAAATTCATTTTAGGTTATTAGTGTTTTATGCTTTATAGTTAACCCTTTATATGTCTTGAGATGCCTACACTTAAGTTTCCTCATCTGCAAAGCAGGAATAATAGTGGTCTCAGAGTTATTATAAAGATTAAAGAATATTATGAATGTGACGATGTGTGCTGTGTAGTAATTAGCCATAAGCAACAGCTAGTGTTACTTGGGAAGGCTGTTATCATTTGGGGACTTGGGGGACGAATGGTAGCTTTAAAGGTAATTTTTTTTCTTTTAAGAAATGTCAGTAGATACTGAGCAGTACAGTTGCTAATATTCCTCTGAAAATGTTTACTTTTGTTTTTTTTCAAGAGATGGTAGTTTTCTTCTCTGGGGTAGTTTTCTTCTCCTCTAAGTACCTAAGGTCTGAAAGATAGTATTTTGAGATTCTATCAGTTGGGCCTTTTGACTAATTTGTATGCCTTTTTTTCTTCAGTTTTTTGTAGTGAAAAATATAGTTATCGTTTCTTAAATATGGATATGAGTCTTCCTTGTTCCAAATGAAAACAAAAAGTAGCATGTTTGTTTTGTTCTTTCCCCTTCTTCTCCAAGAAGGAAAACAATTCAGTTCTCCTTGAACTTCAGTTGTTTTGTAGGTAATATTGAATGAACAAGGCAGGTTTGACTTGGGTATAGCTTCAGAAGTTGGGGTCTAGGACTTTAAGAAATCCCCATAGTCTTAGCTATATTCTAATAGAATACTAATATGATTGTTTAAGTATGATTATTTTTTAGTTCTCATATCACTTTTGATACCTTTTAGCTATAAATATCTGGAGAAAGTGATGGTTCTCTACTCCTCTTAGAATTCCCATTAGAATTTTGTCCGGACTCAATTTGAGCCCAGGATCTTGTAATTGGTGACTCATCACCTACGCAGTAGTGCTGCTGGGGATCGGCTTCCCCACTTTAAAACGGGGTACTCTGTCCCCTGCTCACTTCACGTATGAGTAGATCAAATGAGGTCATGTCCATGAAGCACTTTTCAACGGGTAAGCTCTTAGCTTACTTAATTATTACTCCAGTTCATCTTGTCAGACCTGCCCCTTTCCCACAACTGGTTGCTGGCAGGGATGGCACGCGGGCCCAGAACTCTGTTAATGGACCGTCTCTTGGGAGTACTTGTTTTGTACTTGCATTAGGGAGTGGGCGGCTTTCTGTTGCTGTTGCCTTCATCCCTTAATTTGTTTTGCTTATTAGAAAAAATAGTACAGGCTTACTTTAGAGAAATTAGAAAGTGAATTGGCAAAAACTAAAATTCGTCCTAAATTGAGAAATAATTACTCCTTTTAATTTTGTATTATTTTAACATGAAAATTATGTTGGATGTAATACTTTTAAACATGTAGTCTATAACAGCAATGAAATGGTTAACAATTTATTTTTATATAACACTTTAAAATTTTATAATAATTGGCTGTCTGATACACCATAATTTATAAATAACAAGCGTTTCAAAACATTTTACATTTAATGACTTTTCTGCTGGATATAATATTTATAATAAAACTTCTGTGGCTAAATACTTGTGTATATCCTTGATATGTTTCTAACCAAGTATTGGCTTTCATAAATAAAACTGCTTTGAAAATTCTTGTGTAACCCACCGTATGGACATAAAACATTTGGCATTTCCAAGTTTGATGCCAGAAATTTTATATGGTTTGTTTTATGAAATTGAAAAGTTTCAAAGAAAGAAGTCATAAGTACTTTTTTCCCCCTTCTGTTTTTAACTTTTCATCTTTGAAATATATCCTTGTCAAAATCTAGAATTTTATATGGAAGTTAATTAAATTAATTTGGCAATAATTTGCTTAAGAAATTTGAAATTACCAAAAGTTAATAACCACTGTTAACCTGTTTCACACTTTGGTTTTATTGAAGCATCTTATTTTGTCAAGCAAATGTATTGTTTAGAGACCAAGACTCTTGCTTTCATTCAGTGAACTAATACTCATCATAAATAATTTCTAGTTCCCGGCCAAATGACTACTTCTGCATGGAGTTTGAACAAGAAAAGATACTGGGATAAGCTTTCAGAATTTCACAATAGATATTCCAGAATCTCGTTTGGACCAGATGTCAAGCTATCTTTTTCCTCCTCTTAAGGTGGCCACTAGACGAAATGGCCTTCCGGGGAATCTGAAGACTCTACATGACATCAGAGCTACTTTTCAACAACCTTCTCAGATTCCTTTCTCAGAAAGCAGAGGCTCAGACCTGGAGACAGACGGTGAGAATATTTTCCCTAAGTTCTTAAGGCTTTATCATTGTGACTTGAATATATCTCAAACCGGTCTTCCTGTTATAAGTTAGATTGTTATTAATTACCAGATGTTTATTTTGTACTTTACCTATGCAAATTATTTCATTAGGCAATATGGCAAAATTAGAAAAATGAATGATACAATCCTGCAGTTAAAATATTTACCAGGAAAGAATATATATGGATTAATAAATGTAATCAAACTGTAGAAATTGGCTAAATGGTGCAAAAAAAAAAGACTTAAAAAGTATTCTTGAGAACTCAGAGGCCTAGATTACTTCTAGAGGGTGGGATTAAAACAAAAAACAAAAGCCTCACAGCCATTGAATCAATGGAGAGTCACGACCACCCTAGAGGACAGGGTAGAACTGCCTCCCTGCCCAGGTGATTTTCTGAGACTGTAAACCTTTATAGGAATTAAAGGCCCCTTCTTTTTCCTGCGGGTAAGATTAGAAAGCCCCCAAATAAAATGAAACGTACATTGATGATACCTAATTTATTTTTTCCAAAATTTGGTAAACTGTGCAGAGTTAATATAGATCTGAAATAAGCTGAGTTCATATAAAATGTCAGTTGTGTTGAGGAAAAATAGAGATGTGTTTTGTTATTAATGGGTTTATTAAGTATAACTCAATATTTTTAAAATTATATAAATGTATTACTTCATATAAGGCAAATAGTATGGTATCTTTCTGAGAAATGCTAAAAGGTGAGCAGTAAAACAGACATGATTGAGTGATTAATCCTACTTGGATTAATACTCTTGACTTTAGTAAAGCCACCTCCTAAATTAATTTGACTTGTCTTTCGCTCTTGGACATTTTTGCTACTCATTACTGGAGGGAAACATTCTAAGTACACTAGAAAAGTAGTGACTGATTATTTTTGGTAATTTGTTGTGAAAAGTTAACTTTTAATTAGCCAACTGAAGACTGTTGAGAAGAGGAATAGCAAATAGATCATCCTAAAATGCAGTGTTTGAATTGACTGTGATGTTGGAAAAAGCAGATTTAGCAACTTTGAGCTAAATTTATACTCTACCTGTAGATAATGCTATTATGATTGTGCAATACTACTAGAACTAATAGTACTACAATATTACTAATTCCTTATGCTTCACAATTCTATTTGGAGTCAAAATTCTTACCCCAAAACCTAGTGATGATCTTTTTCTATTAATCCATCCCAATTAAAATCTTGTCTTTTTTTGTAATTAGTGTAAAAATATTTAAAATTAGTATTATATTTATTGAGTGAAGAGACAGGGAAATGTTGCTGGTAAAGTTTTGGTTTGTATTCATTCTTCACACAGCCATATATAGCTATTATTTGTATTTCTAAATTGGGATTTAAATACTAAGAGTTTGGGGAGGATTTTTGTAAATGCTGAATTTTTTTTATTTTTTTTTTTGGTATATTTTAGTGACTTGGATAGTCTAAAGTTTTATATTTCATAGGTCAGGACACAGTTGATATTGAACTGTATTTCTCAACTTGATAATTTTTAAATGAAACTAAACTCACTCCATCAAGTTCATTCTGATTCATAGTGACCATATAGGACAAGGTGAAACTGCCCCTGTGGGTTTCTGAGACTAATTCTTTTACTCAGAGTGGCTGGTGGCTTTGAACTGCTGACCATAGGTTAGCAAGCCCAATGAGTAACCACTACAAAATCAGGATTTCTTGCAGTTTTAGTAGAGTTAAATCATGACTGTGTATAATTCTTTTACTTCCCCTAATGGAATCATTAATTTATTTTAGGTAGTTTTCTATTTTACCAAGTAACCAGAATGGTGAACAACTACTTACAGTAGTTGAATAAATAAATTATAGCTAGACAGCTGGTAGCTATACCTATGAGCAATAAGCTGTTCAGGAAGCATGATCAAATTTAGATTTTTATTTCAGGTTAAAAAAAAGAAAGTAAATTTAGAAAATACAATAAGTAACTTTAAAAGCACATGAAAATGATTAATAGTAATGTTTTAACTTGTTAGTGACTTAATCCAGATTTTCATTGCTCATGTATTCTCCCTTATATTTGAAATGCATTCACCCCATTAAGTAATTGTCAGAGTTTATTGTAGTTGACATAATTTTATATACTTTCCATATTGCATTCATTCTCACTATAACTGATTAACTTATCTGGCTAAAATTGGTAATACAAAAATAGTGACTACTTTGGATAGAATTAGATAATTGACTACAAATCAATTCGCTTATGCACTAAGCACTATTCATTTTTTTTTACTAAGTAGAGTTTTTATTTTATCTTACGCTCTTTCACTGGCGGCAGGGAGGAGCCCTTCTCTGAATGTTTTTTCCCCTATTTTATTAAATTTCTGGTGACAATTTCAACAGGTGTTTTAAGAGTTAAATTTTTTTTTTTTTTTAAACATTTTATTAGGGGCTCATACAACTGTTATCCCAATCCATA